GCCGATGGCGCTCCTGCAGCCTCACTGCTCCTTGCTAAAATATCCAAGGCGGTGGGTGAATGCGGCCGTGCCACATCCCCATCGTCCGCTTGTCGTGCGTCGATTGTAACTTCTTCGCCGCCGGCGTCTACCGCCGAAGGCGATCGTGCGGAATGTGTCTGCTCGGGGTGTAATTGTGCATCGTGCGCACGAATTTCATCCTGCGGACAGACAATCCGCTCCTCCGTTAGGTCCTGCTCCTCTGATCGGTCCTGCTCCCCCCTTAGGTTCTGCGCTAGGTATGCGTTTGGCCTACGCGTAGGCGCAAATCCCGGCGCTTCACCCGCCGAAGGCGATAGAGCCGAAGGCGGCCCGCCCGATGTTCCTTGGCCCGAAGGCCCTTCCGCCGAAGGCGCATCTTCCGGCGGATTCCCCGCCAAAGGTGCGGCTTCCGCATGCTCCCTGCTTGTAATTTGTTGGCTCGAAGGCCCTGGCGCCAAAGGCGCAAATCCTGGCGCTCTTTCCGCCGGAGGGCCTTGCCCCGAAGGCCCTTGAGCCGAAGGCGGATCTTCCGCCGACTCCTTCCCCTTCCTGCGTTGTACCGGACGTGAGTCCTGCCTGTGCGTAGGCGGCCGCCTATGCGTAGGCGAACTTTCTCTGCCTATGCGTAGGCGGAGGTCCACGTCCGCAAGGGGTCGCCTATCAACAGGGAGTCGCCTATGCGTAGGCGGCACACTCGTCCGCACCGCACGTGATAACTCCTGACCCGAAGGCCGTCTCTCGTCCGCCGAAGGCATAGCGTGGTCCACCGCTCCTGCGGACGTCCGCGTAGTCCCATCCTTCTCCGGGGACGAACTTCCCTTCTCTGTGGCGATCGTCGCCGTTTCTGCGCTGCTGGCTGGTAACACAAGCCTGCACGCCTTCTGCTTCGGCCGGCTGCAAACTTCGTGCAGTGGCCGCTTCCGTATGAGAGCAGTGGGTTCTCGATGTTGCTGTCTCTCCAGTTCCTCTCTCCATCTTCGCTTCTGCGGCACTCTCGCTGCGGGTGTGTCTCTTCCCGTATCTTGTTGAGTCGGTGGAGTGGAAGTTGGCGAATCCTCCACATCGGTGTCTACCTCGTTATCCCGCACATACCTTCCGGGATGGTCGACTGACAATGGCGGAAATCGAGCACGCTCCGCCGCGGTTAAACAATTCATCTCCCGATAAAAGTTTATCAAGAATGGTGAGAGGTGATTCAGAGTTCCTCCCCGCTCCTCAAGCGCATGCTGTCGCATCACCCTATGTAGGATACGTGACCAGTGAACTGGAGCTCCGGCCAATGTGAGCTCTACGAAAGATACCTGCCACAACGTGATGTACGTAGTGCGGTGCGGCTGCTACAATTGCAGCAGCGCCATCGCTACGGTCCTGCGGAAACAATCTTTGTAGTCGCGGGTCTTGTACCCGTTCTTGGAAGACCTCTCCCGCTTGAACAATTAGAACAATGGTTATTGGAACAATTGTTAGAACAATGGTGATGTCTAGAATGTCTCTCAGTTAGCAGGTGGACGCGCGCAGCTCGCACCAGAAATTGAAATCGCGAATTCAAGAATGGGGCGTCCTCTGTCTCCTCGTAGGAGGTCATGATCGGCTCTCGGTCGTGAAGGTCGAATCACTTGATGGCCGCGCCGGCTCGGCGCTATTACGGCCTTCTCTCTCACGCGTGGCTTCACGCTCCGCCGACGCCGACTTCACTCACACGCTCGAATTGGTAATTTGAACTCCGCCGACGTATCACGCCGCGGACATGGGCCGAAGCGCCGAAGGCGGATTTCTCGCCGGCGCGCTACACTCCTTCGTACTTCAATTTGGCTAGTCCCGCTTCGCCGAAGGCGTTCATCCGCGCATATAACAAAAGTTGAACTCCCTTCTGCGTAGGCGGAATCCCCGGCGGAGTTTCCGCCGGCGCAGAACTTCATCTGCCTGTGCGTAGGCGCTCGCCTATGCGTAGGCAAATTCCGTCCGCACTCAGGACGTTCGTCCGCGAAGGTCCCTCGCCGCAGGCGCAGCGCCGAAGGCGGCTGTGCCGAAGGCGTTGACCGCGGTCAACAGACTCCGTCCAGTTTGTCCACTTCTCTCGCCTCTCCGTCGGCGCTCTTGTCTCTGTAACCCCGACCGGCCGAAGGCGCACTCGTCCGTACAGTCTGTACGGTCCGTACGGATTTTACTACTCCGTTGGGTCTTCGCCCATTCGTGATGCGCTGGCGCCGAAGGCGCCGTACAAGTTCCAACCCCGAAGTCGGATTTCTAGGGCCGAAGGCAGACTTCCCGCCGACGCCGAAGCGCCTATGCGTAGGCGATCCCCGCTCGCATATGCGTAGGTGCAAGTCCTCCCCGCCTATGCGTAGGCGGCATACTCGACGGACATCCCGCCGACGTCAAACCCTATTTCGCCTATGCGTAGGCGAACTTCCCTCGTCCGCGCATAGGACAAACTTCCCTCGCCTATGCGTAGGCGAAGATCTTCGTATCTTTCGACCGTCACAACTCCCTGAGTCCTCATCCGTTCCAAGCGTTCTTGGGCTCGTTAAAATCAGCGCGTCAAGCTCTTTCCAACGAAACCCTAACCAAGTCAAGGCGTTTGGGAATTGATCAGATTCTGAAGGATTTCTCTAGCGCCGAAGGCGTAGCGCCGAAGGCGAATTACGCGCCTTGCGCCGAAGGGGTACTCCTTCAGAGTCCGTCGTTTAGGGCGGCGCCTGTCCCAAACGTTGCGCCCAACTCCTGGATTCTACGAGATTCTTCGAGATTCTCCGAGATCATCTAGTTTTACTCTATTTTGGTGCACCGATGGCTATTTACACTTCTGCCGCGATACAGTTTTCCGAAAATGTTTTAAATTCCTCAAAAATCCCAAAAGTGGGGTACCACAAACTTGTAGCCAATCTTGCTAACGCTCCCAAAATAATCAAAATATTCTATCAGCAATAACGACAAAATCAAGTGCCAAAACTATTTGATACCTCAATGTGTGTAACTACATTAGGATGTAATCATCATGTGGATCTTTTACGATTTTAGAATATCTAGTGTAAACTCGTTGCTTGATGGAGGATTGATATCACAAACGGTGGTTAGAGTGGCACTTTGGCTTTTTTTCAAATTGGGAGGCAGTTTGGTTCATTTCAAACTTAGCAACAATTTGGTTTTTGTCCAAATTCCGAAGTTCATACTAACTTCCAGTATGAACTTTACCCAATTCAATCGTGTTGTGAACTTGTAAACTTTAGAGTTTTCTTAGTAGTACAAATAGTATATAATCTCAAAATTATTGTTTGATTATTGTGTGAGTTTTCATCCGCAACGTAATCAAATTATCATTCAAATAAATGTGAGCATCATTTGTATTGAAAAAAATTTTGAAATTCAAATTATTAAAAAAATTAAAATACTTTGTTAAAAAAATTTGAACAATTATATATATATATATATATTATATGCCAAAAGTAATAAAAAATTAGAAAAAAACAAGAAATATATATTATTTTGGCTCTGATTTTATTCATCCAAAATACTTTATTAGATTTCTTAAACTTGATATCAGAATTTTTAACAAATAAAAAATTATTTTGTAAATTTCAATTGATAATAAAAAAATATTGAAATCAACTATATTTCATAACTTATGTAGATTAATATGAACGTATTTTGAAATCACATAATTTTAAAAAACACTTTTTAAATGAATGAATTCTTTAGCTTTATATTTTCAATATTGTAATGATGAGATCTGTATAATTATTCTTTACCAAATGTGAACTTAGTTTTTAATAATTTGACATGTTTATTTCCAAAAAAAAATATTGAAGTATGCAAAATATTTATCCAAAAGATTATTGAATAGATTATTAACTATACTAGGAAAAAATTGAAAAATTATATTGACATCATCTTTCATGAATGTTTAGAAAATTGATATTAAGTTAATTTCCTAAATAATATCAATCTTCCAAAATTGATATTTGCATACATTTCATCTTTTAATCATTGAACATTGATGTATTTCATCATTAACACATGATTAAAATGCTAAATTAGGTGTCAGTATATTTCACATATTCAAAACAGAAGAAGAACAATATATTTTTAACTAGCTAGAAAAAAATAGTTGAGAAAGTTCTTCATCAAATGAAAGTTGTCAAGATTATCAAAATCATTGTTTCCGTGTAAATTGTTTTGATATCCATATATAAACACATTGTGTTTTAGATTCATCATATTTTATATAAATAATCATATTATACTCATAGATATATGTGTAAATGAAGAAATCTATCACATCTTTTTGATTGATTTATGGAGAAATCTTTTATTTTTTATGAATGCTTTCAACATTTGTAACTATGATAGATTGAACTCTATAGAAGTGCAATCTAAAAATTTGTTTTTCGAATATATATATATTTATTAATAAAATTGAATATTAGAAACTTATACAAGTAATTTTTTTTAAAAAATTGTTGCAATCCTTTCTATGTTCTTCAAGCAAAAGTTGCATACAATTTGATCTTGCAGTTCTCTATATAATATTATTTGTTTGAATTTGTTTCCTATAAAAAATTCTTCAATGAAACAAAATTTTCGAACAAATTTTTGATGAATATTATTATTAAATTTTTTACAATTTTAAATTAGATTATGTACAAGTATATCGCCATGTTGGAATCTCAAGAAATAGTCGTATACGAAATAGAAAGGAAAAATACGTTTAAACTTTATTACTTTATATCGACACATATTTATAATCATGGCAAGAGATATTAAATTTTACCAGAGTGAAATTATTTTGGACGATATTTTCTTTTATATACAAAGTTCAAGACAATCAACTCATACTGGCACATAGCATTCATCAGTCAGTACCTTTTTATGTCACTGAATGCTACATCAATAAACAAATAGTATATATAATGTGAAATCGAAATTATAACTACATCATCCTTACATATATTTCCCCTAGGCGGTGCACGAAGACAGTGGAAATCATGTTTGTGCTCGGCTTGTTTCGGAAATCAGTTGTGTCTTTGAAGCAGAATGAATGCTCGGAGATCGAATCGAGGAGTTGGCGCATCCTCTGCCTTGCTGCACATTCTTGCCCAACGATCATGCTCTAGCAGCTCCAAAAGCCTCGAGACGGTACTCGTGCTCGATATGCGATCTCTCGAAGGGTCGCTAAGTGCCCACCGAAAAGTATCTAGAGTACGAAGATGCCCAAAAGCATCCGATTTCTAGAAACTGGCATCGACTCTAATGCTCAAGCCCTAAGAGTGACGAAGGATCGAGCTCTAAGAGGGCAGTACCTGCCAAAGGACCCGGAATCTTTTGGCAGGTCGATCGGGTGGCCGGCAACATCAACGGTGAAGTAAGCAGGCGGCGAGTAAAGGTACGTCCCTTCACGAGTCTGATCGTAGATGCCAACGACAAGTTTCTCTCATTGAACTACAATCACCGAGGAATCGATTGCGTAGCGATCACGTTATTTTTACTGTGATATTGAGGCCTAGCCCTAACCTCATCGTTCTTTCTCAACCATAACATAATTTTTCTTTTGTCGACTGTATGGGTCTTGCCATCTTTTTTCTTCGTTACCCTTTTGGTTTCATCCTCTTACGACTAGATGGGTCCATCATTCCTTTTATGACTCTGTCCCCCTCGTTTTATCAAGTGGGAGCAGGCTCTCTCCACACCAGACTTAAGGTGTGGAGAGAGATTGCAGCGACTTATGTCATGCTTGAGGTGTAAGCGACCGCGAAGGGACGAGCCGAATTTCGCAGCGGCCAGGACGGACAAGGGATGAACATTTGGGTTGCTGACGAGCCTTGCAGTCCACGGCTTTGAAGAGATAGGGAGCAACTCCGTGATCTGGCTACGGGATTTGATCTTATCCTCAGGCGGCTCAACCCAATTAAATCTGTGATCCTTGTCTCTCAAAATGGTTACTTTTACATTTTGTATGTAGGAAACGTTTTTTGTGCGTTCTGTGTTGCTAGCCTCCTCAGTGAGGAGGCTAGACAAAATGTAGGTGAGGAGTCCTCACCTACATTTTACTACGGGATTCTATACGAGTCCTCGGAGCATCGAACGAAATTTGAAGCAGAGGGCGTTGATAACGAAGGTCTCTGAACGAGACGTAGAGGAAACAATGCTTAAGGCCTACGGTTTCCTCTATCCCTACGGTATGACGCTAGCACCGCCCGTGCAATGATCTTCCTCCTCCACGTTCACCCGGGCCAATGATAATATTGCCGAGAATATTTTAATCTTCGATCAGAATCTCCTTCATCACTTCACTTGTGAATATACATTTTATTCATGGGCCTTCTGACGCTGAATTCCTGCACCTCCAAGACAAGAACGAAATTCTCAACGACAGTCTGCACCTCCAAAACAAGAACGAAATTCTCAACGACATTCTACCCTGTCGTCTCGTCCAAACATGAAACCCATAGATCATGTAAGCAGAATCTGAGGCTCACACCTGTACCTTCTTGCTCGTGTGGAAAACACGAGCTCTGCCGCGGGGTACTCCCCTGGCCCACCATGGGCAGGGTCGGAACCTTCGGCAGTTAGAGGAGATGGAAGCGGATCGAGCTATGGTGGTCCCCAGTCGAGCCCGGAAGCCTCAGACGACGCCACCTGGACCCTGCGTCCTGAATCCCCAAGCGACCTGTGACAAGGCCGCATGCAAAAGCCATACGCACTTCCGCAGTCAGTACTTGAAAAGTTCATTACTGCTCTACATTCCCTGGCTTGCTTGCCTCTCCTTCTATCCACGTCTAGAGAATTCTGGAAGTTTTTTCTAAAACGCTTTCCTCTCTCGACGGCCTGCCCGCTGTCTCCCGCTTGAATGTGGACGACAAAGTCTCCGTGCTGACGTTTGTTGTCTCAGGAGGCTTCCGTATTCTGGAGTCAGGATTATATCATCACTCCTGCAGGAATGGCGAGGACCGACGGATTTCATGCCGACACGTGCGTCATTCTGATCGGTGTCGGGGTCAGCCCAAGGCACACTCGCAGATCTCCGCCCATTCGTCCTATAAGGTGCTGCTGCTGCGAGCCATGCCAACCCAACGTTTTCAGCTGAAGCGAACAGGACAAAGGGGAGAAGTCTGTGGACAGACGAGCGACAAACTCGAGAATTGAGGACGAGTTGAGACGAGCCCGGAGCTCGCTCGGAGATTGGAACAGTTCGACTAAGTGTGTTTGGCTTGAATCCTGACTCCTGCAGCCCGCATAGCTCGGAATTTGATCGGAAAAGGCCAATTGGAAGATCGTCCCTAAGGAAGTCGCCGAGTTTAGAGTGAGTGAAGTGGAGAGAGATGGAGTGCGGAGCATTGCGCTCGCTTGTGCATGCGAGAGGTCTGCAGCAGTTACGGCTGCAGACCACAGGGCCTCCGAAATCTTCTCAGCGAGTGCAGGTGAGGAGAAACCTCCAAGTCCGTGCCGTCAGCACCGAATCTACAACCTCGCGGGGCTTGCGAGGTCGTCGTGAGGAAAATGTGGACGGAGATCTGTACGTCGGTGAGCTTTCTGTTTTCCCGCACCCAATCGAACTCACCGTAAAATCCTTCTCTCTTCTGTGGATCCATCCGGCCGCACGTAAGCAGCTGGCACGCTGAAGGATGCAGAATAGCTGAACACTCTATTGACGGGTATCTGATTTGCCAGGCGCAGGATGTGAAGGTCCATGCATCGCATTCCTGCACTAAAGCAGCCTTCAACTATATATTCAAACTCCTCGTGGAACAGTTGAATTTGGTCCTCGCCTTCTGTGCTTCTGCCATTTTTCTCATTTGACGGAATCGTAGGAACAGGAGCCTATTAAGGCACATAAGTTGACTGGCTTGTTGCTTGTACAGATCGTTCCTGCATAGATTGCGACACGTGTCGTTGGATGGCTCCGGTGAGTAAGCTCTAGTACCTGCTGTTTGGGACGGCAGAAACAATGCCCCTCGTACTTCTGAAGTCTTGCGCATGATTCATGGCTTGTGCTTGCGAGGTATGCATGAAAATGCTCATCTACCTGGGTTCTGAATACTGTCACAGGAAATATATTCGCGAGTTGGGGAGCAATCTGTTGTGCACAAGCAACCAGCCACACCCGAGGAAAGACTGCGAGCTCTGCAGGTCTGTATGCATGAAGGCTTCAAGGCCACTCGATATGATGATAACGTTGGATAGCTTGCGTACTCTCGCGGAGGCTTCGGCTTTCAACATCCTTTTTGTTTCTGAAGCTTCTACGACAGAAATATGTTCGAGTTTTCAATTCCATGATGAGGGATGGCTGCTCTTGGAGCTCACTTGAACCTTGTCTGTTCTACAGGCTCTCGTATCATGTCCCACAGGTTCTATACGCACGTTAACTCCCTCCAAGGACGTTCTGCAGGCTCAGGAAACCTTTCCTCTTTGTATCGATGAGGACTTGCCGGTGAGCATCTGAGGCAGGCATTCAGTAGTCGATATTTTACAGGAGGTTACGTCATTTGCGTCTGTATATTGCTCATGTGGACACACGTTGTGATGGAGATTTGTGAACTCGGATTAAGCTTTTGGTTAGATTCAATGTTGTTTTCAACCGTTTCCGTTACTTTGTCTGAAATCTGCTTCCAAAATTGTAATGAAGCCTCTTTGGAGTTGCTTCTCGTCCAACCTGATAGGAGATTTATACTTGTGTAGGGTGTGTATCACTGTGGATTCCACAGCGACAAATCGTTTGGTGCTGCATCGTATTTCATTCAACGACCAGAGGGCAACATACTCGTCGACAGGTTCGATCACTGGCAAACAGTGCTGCGATTTAGTTTGATTTCCCCCATTTTATCCGAGACTTTATGTAGTCTATACATCGGAAGATTTTATAACTTTCATTCCCGCTTGTGTTTAAACGTGGATAAAAGTCCGCATTATTCTTACAGCGAAGATGTCCAATTGAGCTGAAGTTGTTGAATGTTACTTCACGTCTTTGAGTTTGGACATCGCTGGGAGGTGTCTTTATGGATCTCTGTTTAAGGTCTCATTCTAGCTAACACACGTTTCCTCTGCAGTCCTCGATTCAATGAGCGTTTGGCAAAGCGCTTGGAAACCATGGGTGGTGTGAAGTATATGTTTCTTACTCACAAGTAAGTCCAGTTGATCAAAAGTCGTAATAGTCGAGAAGCCTTGCACATACTTCTTCATCTCTTTATTGTCTTTTGTCTCTTTTTTTATCTCCGAGCTGCCTAGGTTGCATTTAATATGTATGGCTATTGTTGATCTTCTTTGAGAGGAAGCTATTAGCAATGTTCACAATGTCGTGGTCTCATTTGAGGAAAGTCCATGGCAGTGAGCGATTCGTCGTGAATCCACTGCAGTTTCATTCATAGGGTGAAGGCTTTTCTTTCCTGTCAACAAGTGAAGGTTGTCGATGTAACATTATGATCTCATGCTTATCGGACGGATGATGCATCGAAACAGGGATGACGTTTGCGATCACAAAAAGTGGAAGAAAAGATTCAACTTAACACGTTTCATACACAAAATGGAGGTAATAAGCTCTTATCAAGGTCACATTGTTTGACCAAAACCGATTTGCAGTAGCCCGAGATATATTGAAATCTAAACTTTCCATTCAGTCGTTTTCAAAGATTAACCTCTAGTACCTACTGTAGGTTCGCATCATGCACTTCCTCATCGTTTCGTGATTCGTTAGATATTGCTTTTCTCCTCGTAATCATGGTCAGGGCCGTGTACCCTTGAGTCAAATCCGCGATGTTGCATACCAAAGATTTCCTGCTGGCAGCCACAGTTTTCTGAAGATAGGGAGAATTGTACTTATGTACAAAAATTGGTTCAGAAGCTGCTGGTCTAATAATCAGACTAGTGGTCAATGATTTCTGACACATTGAAACTTCATTTTCATTGACAGGTCCAGCGGAACACTGAAGACGTTGAGGTGAAACTGGAAGGAACAGGCCCTTGGAATTTAGGATCTGATATTGAGATGATCTTCACTCCTGGTCATTCCCCGGTAAGTTTCTTAGAATTCTTACTGCTGATCGTACACTCAGCTTGACAAAGAGATGTAAGAGTTTAAGCGTCGAAAGAGTGTCGATACGTGCACAGGCTGTAACCAACGTCGGGGGAGTATATTTTCAAGTCAATTGATCGGTTCTGCTGGCAGGCACACGTCGTTCTCCTTTTGAAAGATAGACGAGCGCTCTTCACTGGAGATCACATGGGCGCGTCGATGAACAATGAAATCTTCATCGATCAAGTCCACAATTGGTATTCCGGTGAGAATTTGATTTTAATTCAGTTTTGCAGTCAGTTTCGATGGATGAAAGTGCAGATAAAATTTCTGACATTTGCGTGTTATACTTGGCCTTAGTTCATGCGTCTGTCTTTTTCTTTAGGATTCTGAAATATTGAACAAACGTTGTATCAAAACCGCAGAGATAACTGACATAAGGCTCACTCGTGTCTTTGGACCCTTTACAGTCGAGGAACAAGCTAAAAGCTACGAGCTTCTTCTGCCGAAGGACTTTCTATGGGTTTTACCAGGTCGGTGACGGTGGACTCGTGCTTCAGTTATACGCTCTTAGTATCATAGGCGAAGTGTTAGCTAACATCGTTGGCACTTATTTCTTGCAGGGCATTGGCGAAGGTACAAGTTCCAAGACCTAGAAGACAAGAACACATGGATAAGAAAGGCTGTTGCTGACGCGAGGGGCGTGACCAACTATGGCCGGTACAACTAGGTGCTACTGACGATTCAATGCACATCTTCACAAAGTGAGGATAATTCAGCAGGATAGTCCATGTCTGTAAACTTCCTGCTGGTGCTGCTGTACATAGGTGAACGCTGGCCGGGCAATTAAGGCGCGGCTGTAGTCTTCATGATCACTTGTAATAGATGAATGTAATGAAAGAATACTATCGTTCTTTTAGTTTCCGATGGATGAGTATAGTAACAACTCTCCGAGTGCAACGATGGGTCTTCGAAATTTCTCGAAGGCAGTTGTCTTGATCTTCTGTTCTAAATCTGCCTATCGATGAAATGTAGATAATGAAGAAGAATCGTCTCACACAAATACGGTTAACAGTGACTATTCCCCAAGCACAAACGTTACTATGAACAGTAAATTAAAAGAAGGAACAGAGTCCCTTACTGAAACTGCGAGGGAAAAAGTACGCAGTCAATTGTCATACATGCTATGAATTGTGGTTGATTTGAAGACGGAAATATTTGCAAATAGGAGAAATTTATGGAAATGTTAGAGACTGAAAAGTTAGAAAGAGGAAAATTGGATAATACTAATGTAAAATTTATACCATATAACCAAGAACAAAATAACTTAAACAGAAGTAAATTCCAAATAATTGAATGAATTGGTGTCGAGCATACAACTTCATATCTTGCTTCATATTTTCATCTTTTCTTATGTTGGCACTATTTCATGATCAATTTGCTTTCCAACGAATGGGATGCATGAGCATTCAAAGTGAACTCAGGTTTGTATTGAGATTGCACACGTGATGTCGAGAAGCGGGACCAAAACCAAGCTCTCTCAGCGAAATATTTGCTATAATATTGTTCCTATCAAGTTCACATGACTAATATGTCACATTCCATACGGTGGGCCTAAACCCAGATTTAGAACAGACATTTACTAATTCTGCTCTACAACTTTGTATTACATTTTGATTCACAATTTGTGCTCAAAACCGATAAGTTTTAGTGTAGCATAGAATGCAGCTAATAAGTCTTTTAAAAATCAAATCAGATTGTTCAGAAATCTTATAACATTATTGTAATTGCATTTTCAAATTTTGACTGCACATTTATCTCTTGCAATTGCAAATGCATATTTGTACCAACTTTCGAACATCAATTTGAAATCAAATCGATAAAATCAAATTTCAATTTTGATGTGTCTTGTTTGGATACAATTAATGATATCTGTTTAAAACATGTTTTGTTGTAATATCCATTTTGCCATCATCTTTGTATCTATATTCATCACCACCATCTATTACCGTTATAAATTTAACTCCATGATAGGGATACAGATAGAAGTTATTTTTTGAACATGTTATAAATTTGCATTGACCTACATGTTATAAATCTGCATTATCACAAAAATTTGCTCTTCCATGAGGTAAAAGCAAATGTCTAAGCTCTACGATATACTTTTCTTCATAGCAAAAATACAAATTTTAGAAGATGAAACATAAATTCTCTCCATTCTTGCGTAAAGTTACTTCAACTTAGGTACTTATATATTCATGCACACTTCATTCAAAAACTCAAACAATTACAATATCTTTCACTTCACAAAAGTTACAATCCAAACTTTCCATATTTTTTTGAAAAATCGTTTTCAACTGAAATAGTATTTTGGTACATCTCTCAGCTAATGCAAGAGATGAGACGTCCTATCAAACAATCCCATAAATATTGAAGAAAATATTCTCGACGGAAAAAGATAAATATGATATGAAAATAAAAAAGAGAAAGAAAAATATTAAATTTATTTGGGAATTTCTGTTCCAACCAAAAAGAATTCACAATAATCAAAATAAAAATGCTATGAAAATAATTATAGATATGATAAATTTATTTTTCTTACTTTTTATTAAGAGACCTGAAATATGTACAATCGTGAATATTTTAGCCTATCAAGGTAAAAGATCAAGCCGGGGGACCCAAAGGGTCAAAGGCCGAAAAACACAATAGAATGGACAACCACAAACAAGGGAAAATACCCCAAAGCCAATCCCTAGCATTACATACACAGCCATCTTTGTCGGGCTTGATGGAGTATCACTATCATTATGGTATCTACATGGCCCACTTTATGTTAGAGAAGAAGGCGAAGTCCCATTTTCGGCCGTCAGCTGCTCGGTGCCCCGGTGGCAGAGGAGGGAGATGCCGAAGACGAAAAGTCCCATTTTCGGCCGTCAGTCTCTTGCGTGGGACAGCACGAGAAGCACAACGGAGCGTAGCGCGCTTTGGAGCTACGGAAGCAAAGGCGGTCAGACAGGCCGACGAGCGACGACAGATTCGATTGGAATTGAAATTGAGGTTCGGCGTGGACTGCAATTGCAGCGGAGCTTTTAATGTATGAGGAGTTGTCGAGGCGGGACGGCTCTGCGCGCTAGTCGATCCATGCAGAGGTAGGGTTTTCGAGGTTTCTCTCATGAAATTTTTGCTGTGGGGTTTTAGGGGTGATATTTGTTTCTAGGGTATAATTTACTTTGTTATGTTGGAATTTCAGGTAGCCAGTAAGTATTTGTTCGTGACATAATGGAGCTCGTCGAGCTCTCCAGAATGTCACTTTTGCTCGGGTGTTTGTGTTCTTTGCTGGAGCTACTGGAGTTCGTTCCTGTGGTTTTTTCCTGACTCTGGTGTTGCTCTGTCTCCAATGCCAACTGCCGTGCAGATTCCATAACAGATGAATATTTGGTGCTGCATGGACTGTTCGTCTCATTTGGGTAACGGAATCTCGTATTTGTAATCTTCACAGAAAGTTGATGTTTTCTGGAAGGCCCGAAAGTCTATGATGAAAACGGGGCCATGGTCCTGTTGTGGCCCTTGCGAGCGAAGGAGTTTTCGATTGTAGCAACGCAGCGCGGAATGAGTCTGGTGTATGCCATCAGTTGATTGGGTTGTAGCTTGGAGCGTGATCAGCTGTTGCAGACTAGCATCGATTGTCAGGTGAGAATTCTGTATCGAAGAGACGTTTTTCTTTTTTTTTGTGGCAAAGGCAAAGTATGAGCTCGATGGCATTGTTGTATATTTGCTGTAAGTTAATGAAACATATTAAACGGATAAATGCAGTTCAAAAGCGACGTTGGGTTTAAGTACTAGCATCTTCCCGTCTTTTCTTCAAGATCTTTTCAAAAGAGTAAACTCTCACTTACAATTACTGAGGGAATGTCTGTCTGGCTCTAGTACCTTGGCATGGGAAGGATAAACTTGCTCCGTAGATGCTGAATTCGAAGGTTTTATGACGAAGGCATTCCGATTTACTCAGTGGTTACCATGAAAGTTGGAAAAGGAAGCAGATTCTGTCTTAAATACGTGAACGATATACACTGCCGAACTTGAAGACAAAGATTATCTCACAGTGTCCCATCCCTGTTAGACCCCTGGGATTTAAAGTAATCTTCTCCACTGGACATGAAAGTAAAATGTATAACAAAAAATATAGCGGGTATCAAAAGGTTAGTTTAATTCCTAGTTTTTGGATATCTAGAGTTTAAACCTCTGAGTCTATTAGTACTAGACAAGAGGGCAGGGAAGGTGCCCGTGTTGCTGTACAGAAATCATTTTGATGAAAAGAATCAGCTTAGACCTATCTTTTAATACTTTCGTGTCTTATGAACAACCCTAGCAGCTTCAACTGTTTGGGCAAGCTCGAGAAAAGAGAGACGAAGAAAGGAGGGAATATCTGACGGGAATCGTCGTGCTCCAGCCATGGCGGGGAAAAGGAAAGCAGAAGGAATTGCACTGCTTTCTGTGTACGCGGGTTCTGATGATGACGACGACGCAGCCTCAGAGTCTTCTGATGAGGAAGAGGAGAACCAGAGAGAAAACGAGCAGGAGGTCGGTGCTCCATTAGCAGCGGACGTAACGAGCGGAGACGTTGTTGGAGCCGTTTCTGCACCACGCGCTGGCGTCCGTGTTGCTGCTTCCGGGCTTGGAATTGTAGACTACGCACATGACGAGGCGGCCGCTTCTCCCGAACCTGGCGAGGTGTGTAATGTAGTGAGATGTAGTTTTTCGTTTGCCACGACAGAAGTTCTGAGAGTATTTATTAGTCTGCAGGTTCAAATATTATGTAATACGACGCCTTTGTTGCTTTGGTGTCCAGCCTTCTTCACTAAGTTATACGTACTATACAGAGGTACCAAAATAATGGTTCAAGTTCATGTTCATACGTCATGAAGACACGGAAACATTCAAAGCGTTTCACTGTCGTCAACATTCAAAATCAGGAGGTCGTCATTAGTGGACAGTAGGTCTGCCAATCTGAGTTTGGGCCATGCCCTGGAAAGTGGTCTCAAAAAATTCGACTTCTACTGTCTATATTTGCCAGATACGTTCTGGTAGTCTTTTTGTGTGCATAGTTTTGCTTTTCATCTATCTTCAAAGCAGTTTTAAGGTTCATTAACTCCATGTCAATTAACAGGATGTTGAGGCTGACAACGATGGAAGGCCGCCAGAAAGTGAACTCGAGGTCGATAACGGTGAGTAATGTTTTCGTCCTTCATATAAACCTCTTAACCCTCGGATTTTCTTACGTGTGGAACGTACAGGGGATTATTTCTATGCCTCACACAGGTCTGAAATGAGGACCTCTTTGTCAGCACTTCACAGCACATTGGTCACTGAAGACAGTGATCAATGTGCAGGTCTTTTGTTTGAAGCGCCGCGTTTTTTAAATCACTATATTGTTAAATTGCTGCAGCTGAAACTGTGTTCTTTCTTTCTTCTACTCCACATTATGCTGTCCAGGTGCTGTTTACATCGAGGTCTACTGATGACCTCGAATTGAACTGAGATGAGTCGAGTGCGTTGCGGTAGACGAGTTACTGTTTAATCTTCCACAAGCCTTGCATTCAAAGATTGGGATACGCTTACATTGCCAATCGAAACAATGGGTTAAGCTAGAATCAAGATGGAGATTCCTAACAGATGCATTGCCATAATGATTGCTGTCTAAAAGGATTGCTTGCTGATTTTGAGAATTGCTTTCGTTAGGAAATTTGCAAGTTAGTCCGAACGGCATCGATGCCTCGACTCCCAGTAAAGTGACGACGCCGAAGTTGGAAGGTAACCTAGATGGATCAGGAGCAATTCAATCTGGTGAGACAGCAAACACGCAAGACGAATCTGGTGGAGAAGTAGACAAGGAGCAATCACAGGTCTCAGTCGCGATGGAGCTTGACGTCTTGCATGACTTCTTGCCACCAGCTCCCACCGCAACATATTCCGAAGAATTACAAGTATACCCTTTAGTCGTTTGCCTCAAGCGTGCACATTATTTTTCTGTGTTAAAAGATCCCGGTGCAAGCCTTAAAAATGTTGCACTTCATTTGGACTCATTCGCAAGTGCCATTTTCCAGTTCGTAACTTCATTTCATATCTAAAGAAGGTTCAGTTCACTGATCTTTTACGGTTTGTGCAGACCAAGTTTTCCAAGTACTTGGCGCTAAAGAAAACTGGTCGTAGTCTTAATGAGCAACTGCGGAACACCAAAGGTTACCGAAATCCGGATTTTCTCCAGCGTGCTGTCAAGTACCACGAAATTGATCAGATCGGAAGCTGTTTCAAGAAAGAGGTGTTTGATCCTCATGGCTACGATCAAGCTGACTACTATGATGCTTTAGGTGGGATTGATCGCAAATACGTCTGGCATCAAATCAGTTGATGAGGCCGTCCAGTCGGGCATGAAGCCTAAGTTGTGCATCGTTTCTGCTTTGCTTTTATTATCATACTTGCTGTGAGTTTATCGCTGATGTTCTTGTTACTTGAATTCCCGTGTCCTGTAGGACAAGTTTTTATTTCGACTTCATCGTCTTTTTATTTTCTTGCTCATAAGCTTTTGTTGACTCACCAGCTCTGGAACAACGGCGAGAGGCAGAAAGGAAGGAGCAGGAAAGAAAACAGAACCAGAGTCAAAGAGTAGACTTTGTCCGGGGTGGCATGCAGGGCGGACTTGGTGTCACCAAGCCAACCCTACCATTGATACATAAGAGTACGCATCTCTATAATCGTTTTGGCTCTTTAGCTTGATTGCCTATTCTCGACATGTCTTTATATTATATTACTATTAAATACTAATGGTAGCGGAGTAATCGGACCACTGAATACCAAAAGTTGATACGTTTTTTGTTCTCAACATAGATCCTTTGTTAGGAGAATATGAATGGATGACTTCTCCTATGGTGTCGAGTGATTTTAGTACGGATAAACTTCAAGCAGGTCATAGATATAGAATGATTTGTCATATTCAAGTAATAGCATAGGACAATACGACATATACCTCTTTCGGGTGATCGGACAGAATAAACTGTGTGTCGATATCTAAGAGCAGAAATAATTATCTATGCTAGTTCATATGGTTGATTGTAGTATGACCAACGGGTTAAGATGCAACGGAGTATGCTGGTATAGATTATTTGCCAGCAGTTCCCGTTTCAACCGGTGTTTTGTTTTGATATGTTTTACTGCGTTACTGTAATTGTAGTTGTAACTGTAACGACGAGCACGGAGACAGTTAAGGTGGACGCTCGCTCAAGCAAGAAAAGCAAGTGGGATAAGGTATGCAAAGACAAATCGTATATTCTCGATTTCATGTGATGTAGGCGCGATGAAGACAACAGTTCAAGGTTGGGTCTTTCTGGGCCTGAGTACCTGAAGGTTGCCACAAAGGCACTTTAGTCTGATGATGGTTGTCGAAGATTGCACGTACAGTTTACAGAAAACAGCTCCCTAGATCCTTCTGTGAAATGACGTTCTGAAGTTTGGCCTCCAAACTGCGGCATACTGTTTATTCAAAGATCGAAGCTAATCGGGCTACGTACTTGGAGCTTGGGCAAGCATTCTAAGTTTGTATTTAGATATTTCAGGGTTGTTAATATGGACTCTTATCAACCTCAGAAACTTGCACAGTATTCGGAGCCTAATCTTCACCGTGGTTGTGGTCGCTGGAAAGTAATTCCAGGTTGAACTCGAAGGCAGGTCAGCTCAGTCAATTGCAGCTGACGCTATAGCTGCTGCAAACGTTCATGCTGCTTTGCTGTCTGCAAGTGCCAACGCTGGAGCCGGTTACGCCTCTTTTGCGTAAGGGTTCTGAACCTCTGGGAGTGAGTCTGTAGTTTCCTTATTTGCATTTTGCATTCGATGTGTGAGCTTTGATTTGCCCACAAAAACTATATGAAGACGGATCCACGTTGTCAGGTGTAGGAGCTACGAGGTCATATTTATGGGACCAGTGATGGGCCTCAGTTATGTTTATCTGATTGTGCAGGCAACAACGGAGGAGAGAAGCTGAGGAGAAGCTTAGAGCGACAGAGAAAAATGCTTTGACAAGTAGTAGCAGCAAAGTCGAAAAGAAGCCGCACAATAGGTCGTAGGTTTTAGGCAATTTTTTTGTACCATACCATCTTAACACCGAATAAAACTGGAATTATGTGGGCATTTAGGACCAGACATGGCTGCACCTGGGGACTGTTCGCAAAATTTCCTCTAGGTTCATAAGACCTGTTGCAAGGGTTTCAGAGCTACTTAATCACCTCTTATTGCTCATCTTAATCTAAATTACGACAAGGATGTAAGCTGAAATTTTCTGGAACATATGCAGTAAATACTACAAGGTTCCTCCGTCTATTCTCAGTGCAGTTCGTGGTCTCTCTTCTACTCAGGCTACCTACGGTTACACCCGAGCCTGACTAGAGAGGCAGGAAATCGTGAGGTCACGTGATCGGCCGATTATAATATAAGTATTCTGGCTTAGCATGGAATCAGAAAAAGCTCCACCGTTTACAACAGAGCGTAATACACAAGCGTTTCCAAGCAGTTTGGAGACACTGCTTTCATTACAATGAAAAGATTTGGTTGAGTGCTGCAGACGAGTCCCTTACCAGAATGGCTCCACCACCGGTAAATAGCGATAGTTCTTGCTGTGATATTCACCGGATTGACACGCGGAATTTCTGACTTCGAAATGTTTGTTATGTTCAGAAATCATCTACTTATTGTCTGTGAGGTTCAGAATCACACCTGCGACATCCTCTCCAAATAGAATGCCAAATAGGAAGCTTTCCTTTATCGTACTCATCGAGATTCTGGTCTTCTGAGCAGCGCGCACAAGCCGTATATAGCTGGTAAACTATATAGTATGTCAGCGGGTCCCAGCCGGTGTTTCTGCTGCAACAATTCTATAACTTCTGGAGAACACTGGCTTCAGATCGGGCTTACATCCCAGCGGCTTCTCCTTCGAACTGTTCTACAACTTCTGCACAGTATTCCCGCAAAGGATGCTTTCCATTCCGCTGCGCTACAGAGAGCGCTATGCATAACAAGTAAATCTTATGTTTAGCGCTGGCATCAGATGACCAGCGCTGGTAACGCTTGGTCATCATAATCTTTCCACGCATAAAGTAACGTAAGAAAATCAAACATTTACACATAAGGTAAAATATTTTGGATCGTTTCGATATTACGTAGTAACACAATACCCTCGTGTTACCGTTTTAGAGGAAGTTGCCAAGGAGATAAATATGTCGAAAATAAAGTAGTGTGGTCCAAGTTGTTGCAAGAAGTCATGGAGGTGGAGGAGTGAACGAGTAAACAACAAAATTGTGGCTTGAATTTTTGTTATTTATTTGTTTCCTACTTAATCTTTTGGACTTTTAAAAACACTACAAGAACTTTTGCAGAGCTCGTTGTAGAAATCTCACTCCGTTAACTGGTGAATCTAAATGCATTTTATATACATTCCTCGAGTCACTTCACAAGATACATGTTGAGTACAATGTAATGAAAGTTGCATTGTTGCACAAAGTCAAAAAAGCTAAGAGTCATCGAGTTCACAACAAAAAATGTCGATTGAATTTTTGCTATTTACTCGCTCACTCCTCACCTCGACTTGAAGAAATGTTGCAAAAGAGCAAGCGCAATCAAGACAAATCTCTTTGCATGCCGAACAAAAGATGAATCCAAGTCAAGAGTCAAGACGCAATCAAAACTCCAACAAAAATGAATATTCAATAATGTATTCAAGTCCTACCAACCGTGCTTGTCAAATGTCATGAAGCCTTGAATGAAACTCTTGTTCATGCGTTATATCCAAATGCAACCCGTCCATTGATTCTATCTTCAACGCGCATATTCTTGCCGACCATCTAGTTCGGAATCTTATGGAATTGCGATGAATGATTTGTTATATAAATCAGCAAAAATTGATTAAAACATCGCGGGATAACCCTAACCATTACTTAAAACTCTAGCCATTGCCAGAATACCTCGCCGTAGATTGGAAAGTGTTTAGATTTAGGGTTTGAGCCTACGGCTCAAACCCTAAATCTTGGCCCCCAGTGTCTAGACTTTCAAGAGTAAGAGATCCAGTGAAGTGTAAGTTGTGCCTCGGCGGATGAGGCACAGTCGCCGGACCTCAGTGTTGTTGATGTACTATGTATGCAGGTATTACCGTTGCTCCAGTACCTCGACCGGAAGCGGGAGAAATATGCGGAAGGGAGCACCACCGAGTCTTACGTGGAGGTAGTACGTAGCCGAACGCATGTAATAGCGATTGGCTAGTGATAGGATTTAAGCAAATTCGCATTTGGTAGCTACCTGCATACCATCTGAGTGTACTTCTTGGGAAATTCCCCCCTGAATCTTAAGTTGAGGTCGCGATCGACCTTTGAGTTGTTTCAATTGACTGTTTCAGGTGTGTATGTGTATTACGCTGCATTGTGTGTACTCGGAGAGACCTCCGAGTTGAGCATCTACGGTACTTCTGGGAGTGACAGTAGCCTGAGAATTCAAACTCCTCAATAGACTGTTGAATACGTGACAATTGGTACTCCTTGTGTTGTTTCTGTCCTCGTGGGATCAGATCTTTACCATTATACTCCATTTTGGTATTTATTTGTCATTACACAACACAACTTCAAATGTAAGCGTCCACATCCTTCAGTAGTTTGGGCCAAAGTAAACTTGTTGTATGCTCTCTAAGGTCTTCTCCACTCCCACTGATCTACAATGGCTATATCATGATTTTTTGTTAAGATCAATGTGCGTAACTCTTGATCTTGTGGAATCCATATACATTGTTTTTAGAACGCCAAACCTCTAGTCTTTTCTGTCCTTCTAGCTTGAAACGTACTCATAATTTCTTCGTCCTCCTTTGTAGCATGTGTCATCTTGCTCTATCAATCTGCTTGAATCTTCACTTCTGCAACATGATTCAAAAAAGACATGCGTGAGAGAGCATCCTGCGTGAAAGAGCATCCTGCCCTCCTGTAACCATCTTTAGTTAGTTAGAACTAAAGTAGAGGTTACTCTAAATATTGATGTAGATACTCTAGTGATTTTGAAGCGTGTTGGTGAAGTGTCATACAAGTTGGAACTTCCGTCACATATGAAAATACATCTAGTATTTCATGTGTCACGATTTGGTCGTGATACATGTACCACGATCAAAACAATTCACCAACCAACCAACACCACCTCCTCTTCCAACCTTGATAGCAGATCATAAGGAGTTTGAGGTAGAAAAGATACTCAAGAAACGTATTCGAGGTCATAAATATCCCAAAATAGAGTATTTGATTTAATGGAAAGGCTATCCATCGTATGAATCCACTTGGGAACCAGCTAAAAATTTAACAAATGCACCTTTGATAGTTCAGGAGTTTGAACGTATGTGCAACGAGTACGTTGCATCTTAAAAGGAGGGAGGTTTGTAACCATCTTTAGTTAGTTAGAACTAAAGTAGAGGTTACTCTAAATATTGATGTAGATACTTTAGTGTGCACTAGTCATAGCTGCCACGTCAGCGATCCGCGCACTTGGTAGGTACAGAGTGGATGTGTTAGTTGACAGTGCCACATCAGCAATCCGTGTGCTTGTAGGTAAGGATTGAGTGTGTTAGTTAGTGTGTTGGTTGGGTGCGCCACGTCAGCGATCCGTGTGTTTGTTAGGGTTATCCGCCACATCATCCATCCACTAGGAGTGGGATGGATGGTGGGGATTAGATCTTATCACCTTGTACTTGTTGGTGAGAGCTATATAAGGGAGAGGAGAACCATTGTTGGTATCTCTCATCTTCAGAGTTTACGTTTCTATCTTCGAGTGAGCTTCTCTCTAAACCCTAGTGTTACAATGCTATCAGAGCAACCTTGCTCTTTCCTTGAGTGTGGATTACCCCTCATGAAATAGCAAGTGAGTGATGATGGAGTGTAGTCTTGAGAGTGTATGAGGTTGGCGGAGGTCATTCATCTGCATGTAGAGAGAGGTGGAAGGGGTAAATTGTGTTTTTGCAAATATGGACAAACATTGAGAGGAATCCAGTACCGCACTGTCCAATTCCTAACCTATTCGATATTCACCTTCCTTGCATGGAGAAACATCATTTTCGGATGTACCTTGTGGCTTGTTGGGGTGCAGATTTTATGACTAGAGTGATGGAGTCAAGAGTGCCACTGATTCTTCCAATAGTTACTTATGGAGAGACTTGGGATTGTACTATATACATTCTATACTGATTGTTTCATGGATTTGAATCGCGAATCACCTGTACCGGTTCGATTCAGCACTTATGTAGAGATTAGAACAATATATAGACAGAAGAGGAAATGGAGAGATTTTCTTGTGAGTAATTATGGAGAGTAGTACTATAGAGCTGTGATAGAGTCACCTGCACCTTTTGTGACTCCTTTGTTGAGAGGTCACATAGTGATTATACTCACTTTGTATTAGGGGGAGTGTGAGAAAGCATGGGGACATCAATTGATATGGGTGAGGTTCTCAATGCAATCATGGCGGAGATGAAGGAGTTGAGAAAAGCGATAGTAGATGAGCATACCAAGCAGCAAGCCATGGAAGATAAAATCTTCGCATTGGAGAGTGAGAAAGTAGAGAGAGAGAGAGTTGGAGAGATGGAAGTTCAACCTCAAGTTCAAGCTTCCCAAGTTTAGCCAGAACCAACTCCTATTGATGCAGCAGAGGCAAATAGGAGACGTCTTCAAGAGATTGAAGATCAAGCAAATCTTTTGCTTCGAATGGGAAAATCCTGTAAGATGGAAGCTTACAAAGGGAGTAGAGCAATGGGAGTGTTAGAGTGATGGATTATGAGGATGAATATTCATTTATTCCATTTTTATGAATCTGATTATATTGCAGGAATGTTCATGAAATCTTATCTTACGGATAAGGCTCTCACATGGTACACAACATGGGAGAGAATGCTTTCAGAACGAGGTGCTACCATTTCGTGGAGTGGAATGCAGGAAGCACTTCTGCAAAATTTTCAAGCGGTGGATTCTCTTCAAACTGCAAGAATGAAGTTGTGGGATCTGAAGCAGAAAGGAGGTATTCATGAGTACATTGAAGAATTTCGTGATCTTCAAGTATCTATCATGGATATGAGTGGAGCTGAAGCCTTGGATGTGTTCAAACGAGGCTTGAAGAATCGAATTCGAAAGGAGGTGATGGTAAGAAATCCATCTACTGTGAATGAAGCAATCGCAATTGCTCAACGAATTTCGGGTGCTTTCGATGTCACACACGGTGAACCAGTGAGCAATTTTCGAGATCCATCTGGTCCAACACCGATGGAATTGGGAAACCTTCGACGTAGAGAAGGTTTTGCACCAACA